TTAATGAAGTACAGAGTACAGACCTTTCAAGCAGGGCGTTATGTCAGCAGTATCGAGGCAGCGTGGCGTCTCCTTGGCTTCCCTTTTACACGAAAGGCACCCAACAGTTACCCTGCTGTGCACTTAGAAAATGGAGAGCGTGTATATTTCACCGAAAGAAATTTCCAACAAAGAATTGCATCACCGCCAAAAACTATACTAACAGCCTTCTTTCAACTTTGTCAAACCGACCCCTTTGCAAAAATGTTGTTATATTCTGAAGTCCCCCCGCTATTATACTTGGAACACATCTAGGAAGGAGTAGAAACGCCGTATTCAAGGCGCGCCTGTTGCAAATTGGCCCGGTGTAAAGTCATCAGATGCCCTTGGTCGTGTGTATACCGTCAATGTAACTAATTTTGAATGTTTCTGTTTACGATTGCTGCTGCACCATGTTCGGGGTCCTACAGGATATAAAGACCTTAAAACTGACAACGGTCAGGAAAGCGCAACATATAGAGAAGCATGTGAAGCTCTGCATCTTTAGAAAACGATAATCACTGGGATGAAACCATGGAGGAAGCTGTGCAGTGCCAGTCACCAGCCAAAATTAGGGATCTTTATGCAACTCTCATATCATCTTGCGGGCTATCTAATGTACATGAATTGTGGGACAAATATAAAGAGTACATGGCGGAAGATATTTTGCGAAGGTTACAGCAGACACACGCGAACATGACATACAATGAACACATTTATAATGAAGCACTTGGAAAAATTGAAGATAAAGTAATGGCAATGGTAGGCAAAAAATTAAGCGACTTTGGAATGATAAGCCCTCAACGAACAACCGAAAATGAACTAAGTGATTAAATTATACGTGAAATTAAACCAGCTCATCCCTAATTTCACTTTATTTCAGGGCCATAAGCCACCAATTCAACGCTGAAACTCAAATTCAACCTATTTATCCAGGTATTTATTTCGATCAAATAACTACAATTAATTTTTATAACGAGTTTTGGAATGTTGTAACGCATATAGACGTAGTTTTACTTAAGCCACATCTAGACAATATACATTCGGTTATAATTAAAACTGCAACGCTCTGCAAACACTTTCAACTCCGTGGTTTCGTTGAATGTAATGACATCATAAGTCCTATTGAAGTATTATTAAATTCTAATTTTGCTAAATTTAAATCTCTTTCGCATATAATTCCTACCGAGAAACAAACAAGGCATAAACGAGCTTAAGAATTCGCTGGAGAAATTTTGAAATTCTTTTTGGAACTCTAGATGCTGATGATGCACGAAAATACGACGCAGCCATTAGCGCTTGTCGAAATAGCGAATCCGAACTTTTAAAACTAATGAAGGATAATATCCACATAATTAAATATTCTATTAATGTATTTAACTCAACGATATATATATTAAATATGAATGAAAATAAATTAAATTCTCAAATAAATTCATTAAATATTGTGTTATCCCAAATTGTTAAAAATAATAATCAATTATCACATATTTCTAGAATATATACTTTACTTAATATAATAGAAAGATCCTTGGCCATTATTTCTAATTTCTTGGTAAAGTACTAAATTCTATCTTATTTTCTAAAGCAAACATTTTACATCCTAGTGTGCTAACTCCTACAAACTTATTTAGCGAGCTATTAAAACAGAATAACTATAAAATAAGCGACTAGATTTTCCAGTTCCATTAACGATTAAAAATATACATACTCTGATAGATATTTCAAAACTCACATCTTTTTATTATAATAAAAGAATAATTTACATATTACGCATACCATTGATTTCTTCTTTAAAGTTCACCTTAATATACAAATGCATACCTTTACCAACCCCTCATAATCCTAGTAATCCTAACTCTTTCGCCCTAATCCAACCTACCAAGCCTTATCTTGGAATAACAGAAGATAGACTTAGTTATAGTTTGCTAGATAATTTAAACGACTGTAATATTATTAGTAATGATTATTCCATATGTCCTTTAATTTCTATATTTTCTACAATAAAGAATCCATCTTGTGAAACAAAATTTTTAACCGAAGTAACGTTATCTCTACCATCTCAATGTAACCCTAATAGACCGGGAGCTGGTGACAGGTGACGTTCCACGATTTTGTCGTGCATGCCTTTTTAGGGCTTGATAACAAACCCTAAAATATCAAAGATTGTCGGGGCTTTAGCCCCCCGTGCGTCCTCTTCATAAGGAAAAGCGCTTTTCTTTGTGTAGCGAATTTTCGTGTTTTCCGTGATAGTATACTGCATGCCATTGTAATATACGGAAGTTCAAGCAAATTAAAGCTCTAATAATTGATGGCATGCACCCCTCGTATGACCAACGGTGGAAAATTTCCGGAAAACTCTGTAAAAATTGAACTCCGATTTTCCGTGATTCCAAACTGCATGCCATGGTCATACGAGGGGTGCATGCCAATTTTTCCAGAGTGTTTTTATTACAAAAACTTCCATTCTTTACATCGGCATGCAATTTGAAAACACGGAATTGCCCTTTAATTTTTTTCAGGTTTTCAGAACCCTTTGATCATCTTGGGCCGCTGCGGAGTGCATGCCATCAATTATTAAAGCTTCAATTTGCTTGAACTTCCGTATATTACAATGGCATGCAGTATACTATCACGGCAAAACACGAAAATTCACTACACAAAGAAAAGCATTTTTCCTTATAAGAAGAAGCGCGGGGGGGCTAAAGCCCCGACAATCTTTGATATTTTAGGGTTAGTTATCAAGCCTTAAAGAGGCATGCACGACAAAATCGTGGAACGTCACCTGTCACCAGCTCCCGGTCTATAAACTTTTATATGGAAAAATCGATGTATGGTATAAAATAAATAATAATAAGTTTATCTATGTACAGTCTGAGAAATGTAAATTAACTATAAAAGGTATCTAATAATATAATACAAGACTTTTACTATTTTAGGAACAGGTATCCAAAGTTTAAATGAAAGCTGTATTGGATTCTCTAAGACAATTCAATTATTACCATCTACAACTAAATCTATTAACATCGAAAATAAAATGAATTTAAACTTTAATATCACAGAAGACGATTATTGTAATAAAGAAGTTGTAAATGAATCGATTCCATACTTATCTCCTATATCTTTAACTAGCCTAGATATGGAAACTCTAAAATATTCTTATCATTCCTTAAATGACTTAGAAAATGAGATCAATAAGGTTCAGGAACAATCTCACATTATAAAATATGGTAACTACTATTCATCATTTACATACTTCTTGATTATTTGCTTTATTTTATATGTTTCCTATAAAATGCTTTGTTGTTTTATTAAGAGAAATAATGATTCTTGCTGCTGCATACAAATATTTAGTCAGTGCAATACACGGCGGATTGTTAAACACGAATCGAAAGTAAGTAATTCTATTGAGTTAACTGAAGTGTCATCATCAGACGATGATAAAAAAGATTCTATATCCTTACCTAATATGCCAGTGCAAAAACAAATGAAAAGAACATTTGGTAAATTTACTGAAACATCATTTCAAACCCCGGAGAATTTAACTTATCAAATCGAAACTTATGTAATCATTAAAAACTATATTACTTGACTATACTTGTACGATAACGTGTTATGTTACATTAGAATTTTAGGATTATATTTTTGTTTTATACACTGTGTCTTGGAAATTAACATTATTAAATGTTCATATTTTTTTTAAAAATTAATAGGTAAATCGTAGCATTAATATTAATACACTGAATCTTCTACTATTTCATTATTCACTGAATCTTATAAAAATATACTTGTTCATAATGTCAATAAATAAGTTTTAATAATTTCGTGAAGAAACAATTTAAGAATAGTTTAATTTTATCAACTTTGTATCAACTCAATTTGATTTTATAATAGTAACAAATAATTGAACCAATTCAATTTTATAATTATTTTTGTATTCAAATTATCTTTTGATTTTCACTGTATTGTTTGTAAGACTCTGCTCATCCCTTATTTAAAAGAAGGATGAGCTCCGTCAAAAGGGTGGAGATGTTATATCCAACCCTAGTTAGTTAAAATTAAAAGCACTGACTCTATTTTTATATAATTTTATAAAAGCCTAGAGTTTGAGATACCTAATAAAAACTAAACCCATATTAAGTGCATATCGCACACGCCGTTCGCCGTTTTGTGTGAATTTTTTGTATTATTTTAATATTGGGGAAATAAACCAAACGAACTTCCGGGATTAGGTGTAAAAGTTTATTTTTAAAACACCTTCAGAGCGGCCCTCCTAACAGTGCGTGCGTTCGTGCGTGGTTGCTCGTAAGTGGTTGCTGCGGCCTATAGACATCTACATCTATCCTCGATTACAAATCAAAATGCAAATGCGTTGTCACCCGTAAGGACAAAGATGGAATGCCTCGTTTCCAGTAAAAAGGGTCTCCGGTTCTTTACTCTCAACATACGAAACACAGCAGTATTAAGCTGCTATTTTACACTAATCTCTTAACTTTTTAACGGAGTGTCTGACCGCAAAGCGTTTACAGCACCTGAAAGATCTTTAATTTTCGAAGAGTAATTTTCTTAGAAATACTTCGAAACCCTTGTTTTTATCAATTCTATAATCTAATCAGCTTTTATATTCATAAAACGACGTCGATTGCCGTAAATTGCATCAAAATCTGTTGATTCGTTTGGAAGACATCGTAGTCGAAAGAAATCTGGAAACAGTATTTTTTCAAAATAATTTGAAAAAATTTTCGTGTTTTTTTTTTGTAATAGGTTTAATTATGATAAGCTGAAAAATTGCGTTGATTACCGTAAATCACATCAAAATCGGTTGATTTTTGTCGCGAAATATTAAATTTTCATTACTCTTAGTAGTGTTTCATTACTATTTCAGGTTATATTATGTAATATAAACATCGCAAATATGTTTTAATATTTTATTACACTTTTTGCGCGAAATAGTATAACATAATTATATTATTTATAACAGTTTAGATACTAAAATTTTCTTCCAATCTTCTTAAATGATCTACATTAGGTTCTTGTGACGTACTATTGTGGTTTAAAATATTGTTTTTATAAACTTCCATGTTACGCTGCACCGTGGACATATTGCTGTAAATTTCTCTTGAAAACGGGACAAGTCGGTTTTGTGCGTGAATTTTAAGGTTATTTGTCATGTTCAAATTTCTTTCCATATTTAAAAATACCCTTTCACTCGGATACGTGGCGGGTGCCGGTGGAATTAAAAATGGTGGAACATCGGGTTTTGGTACGCTCCTACACATATTTCTATCTAATTGACCATTATTATTCATACTGGTTAGGTTACTTAACGATTTTATCCATGGTTGGTGTGTAGGTGGTATTCTATTAGGGTAGTTAAAAATCCAAAGTCGATCACCTACAAACATAGGCCTTGGCGTGACTATACCTAAGCTACTATAATACTGTTGTGCCAGGAGTTCAACGTCATTCGTGTACTTTCTCTTCCATTTTGTTCGTCGATTTTGAAACCATATTTTTATCTGAAATATTAAAAAGATAATTAATATGACAAACGTGCGTGAATTGCGGGACAGTAAAAAGGGATACCATATTAAAATTTAATTGCTACCGTTATTTATAGGTTCAAATATACAAAGTATATGCTTTTTCTTTTTGTATTTTCTGATTTAAGAATTTAGTAGTAATTTCTTAGGCATGCCAACCGCTGGGGATCATACAAAAATAACAATCAATCAAGTGATCCATGTAACTTAAAAACCTTAAAAACCTTAAAAAACCTTAAAAAGTATATTTTTTAATGGAATTAAAGGTAGCTAACGAGCACAAAGTCCACCTGATGATAATTGGATGCTGTGGCCTTTAGACTTACATACATCTATCATCAAATTCAGAATCAAAATACAGATGCTACATTTATCCTTCATTATACTATAATAAACATGCGTTGTCAACCCTGAGGACTATGATGGAATGCCTTGTTACAGCAAAAAGAAGTCTCCGGTTCTCATTACTCACAATACGAAGACAACAACATTATACTGATATATTACGCTGGTATTCCGTGCTTGTGTGGTCCTTCTCCGCTCAACTCAACCTATACTTGCTGCAGCCATAATACGCTGCAGCGTAGCTCTACCACGTTTGAAATATTAATTGTTAAGCCTTGTCTTAATCTCTTACGCTTGTCTTAGTCTCTTATTATGTTATTAAACGTTATTATGTTAAATAACATAATAGAAACGTTTATACGTGGTAGAGCCATGCTGCAGTTATATTAGTAGTATAGTTGTAGCACGAATGGGTCGGCTCGACCGGGTAAGGACCATGCTTTCACAGAATACCAGCGTGAAATGGTAGCTTAATGCTGCTGTATTTCGTATGGTGAGTGTAGAGAACCGAGACCCTTTTTACTGGAAACGAGGCATTCCATCTCAGTCCTCACGGGTGACAACGCATCTGCATTTTGATTTTTAATGGAGGATAGATGTAGATGTCTATGGGCCGCAGCAACCACTTACCATCAGTAAGGGCCAGTGGTTGCTGTGGCCCATAGACATCTACATCTATCCTCGATTACGAAACAAAATGCAGCTATACGTTGTCATCCGTGAGGACTTAGGTGGAATGTCTCGTTTCCAGAAAAAAGGGTCTCCGGTTCTCTACACTCACCATACGAAACACAGCATCATTAAGCTACTATTTGACGCTGGAATTCTGTGAGAGCGTGGTTCCTCCCCGGTCGAGCCGACCTATTCATGCTACAACTATATTATTAACATAACTGCAGCATGGCTCTAAAACCTTCCCCTTTCTTTCACTTTCTTTTTCCTTTGTTTAAACGATACGTTCATTAATGTTATTATGACTTGCATCTTGCCCGCCGTCGATACAAATATGATGTGATCATTCTTAACTTAACCCAGATGGTTAGCGCTCGCTGTAAATTTCACAATACGCGAGCAAACCGAGTTCGATCCCCGCTGGCACCAATGAAATTGTTAATTGCAATTTTAAGTGCTGATTTACCACGTGCTCGTCGGTGAAGGGAAACATCGTGAGGAAACCTGCATGTCTGAGAAATAAGAAAAAAATTATTTCGAAGACATGTGAAGCCCGCCAACACGCATCGGGGCAGCGCGGCGGACTATTCCTTGCCCTAAAACCCTCTCAGAAATGAGAGGAGGCCTGTACCCAGCAGTGGGACGTATATAGGCTGTAACTTTACTTTTACTTTACTTTAACTTAACCCACATGATTCGACTTTCAAAGTTTCCACTTACTATGCTTATCTTTTCGGATGTCGAGAGTAGAAAGTAGAAAATGAGTAAAAAGCCGCTATATTTGTATCAATATTTAGACACAGTAATATAAATTGTTTAATTGATAACTTTAGCTTATACACGTTTTTCTGCACTTCGAATCCACCGGGAGGATATCATCATACACATCGGTATGATAACAGCGCTTTCTGCTCAAATAATATATAAAGTTTACCTGTGTTTCTGTAAGCCTTAGATGCCTTGCAAGCCTGCCTCTTGCTGCGACTGAGAGGTATCTATTCTTCTCAAACTCCGCCTCTAAACTCTTGATTTGTTGCGCACTGAACGCTGTTCGAGCTCTTTTACCTCGAGACGTAGAAGGTCCTGTAAACCAATAAAAAGTATTATGTTCAAATACTTATTAATTGATACTACTTATTAAGGAGCCGTGGTGGCTCAGGAGCTCAGTGCTCGTTGTAAATTTCACAGTACGCGAGCAACCCGGGTTCAATCCCCGCTGGCACCAATGAAATTGTTATTTGCAATATTAAGTGCTAATTTATTACGTGGTCGGTGGTGAAGAAAAACATCTTAAGGAAACCTGTATCTCTGAGAAATAAGAAAGAAAAAAGGCTACAACTTTACTTTTACTGTACTTATTATGTAAGTCACGTTACACGACACCTTTTATAAAAAATCCTCTATGAGTGCAAATTTTGAACCTGTGATTAGTGTAATAAGTTATGTTTATTCTATTCCACCTGTCTCTGGCGTTTACTGAAATCAGTAGTTGTAGTTACCACTATGTGGTTTCTATAACATTTCTGATGTGTACACGCCTTTTTAGTTCATTCCATTAAATAATTATGTTATGTTAATTTGTGTATATGTTTGGAACTAAATAAATTATATTATTCCTATGGGGTATCTATATAATTTTCTCACCTGGTTGGGTGCTATAAATATATAATTATAAATTAAAATGATAAGATAAATATACATAAATATCAATAAAATAAAATAAATACAAAAACTACACAAATAAATAAGATCCAACCAGATGGGAGCCCTCGGCAGGGGAGACCAAACGGCCGAGGGTTAGGGGGAAAGGGAAAGAAACCGGCGGACGATGCGGGCGGTATCGAGAAGCACCGCCTTCTGCATTTGAGCCCGGAGCGGTCCGTCACGGAGTCCCAGTCGCCTCAGATGACCCGAGAGGTTGACTGGGATTAGCCCATTCGCAGAGACGACTACAGGAATAATTTCGGTCGGCATACCACCCCACATGTCGGGCACCTCGTGAGCCAGGTCCAGATATTTTGTTCGTTTATCCGTTTCGGCTTTCACAAGGTTCTCGTCATACGGTATGGTAATGTCGATCAAAAATATCCTTGACTGTGCCCGGTCCATCAGCACAATATCAGGCTTATTCGCAGAAATAGTCCTGTCTGTGATGATGGCCCGGTCCCAGTAGAGCCTGGCGCGGTCATTTTCGAGCACGGCTTCCGGCAAGTACTTGTAATACGGCAATTTTCGGTCCACGAGACCGTATTTCAGAGCGAGCTCCTGGTGTAGAATTCTGGCTACTATGTTGTGCCTGTGCAAGTACTCAGAGTTAGAAAGCGCCGAACAACCGGAGATGACATGCCTAAGTGACTCCCCGGGATGGCGAAAAGCTCGACAGACGTCGACAGTGCCATCCTTTAGGATGTATCTCCGATAGTTGTTGGTCTTAATAACCTGATCCTGTATTGCACAGACAAAACCCTCGGTTTCCCCGAAGAGGTCACCGAAACATAGCCAGTTAAGGGAGGCGGCTGTATCTACGTGAGGCTCATGTAGAGCCCTGTAGTACCTCCCGTGGAGCTCCTTCTCCTTCCATACGGTCTCCCAGTCGGAAATGCTCTGTACTGCCGGGTCTCCCCATTGCTCGTTGGCTAAGGATAGAGGGGTAAGTCCTTTATCACTAGAAATGACGTCATTATAGAATGGATCATCCGATCTCGCCTGGAAGTAATGACGGAGGCTGCACACTTCGCGATTATGCATGGTGAGCGCGCTCAGGAAGCCACGCCCACCATGCTTTCGCGGCAAGTACAGCCTCATTACCGACGATCTCGGATGGTGCATCCTATGGGACGTCATTGTAGTACGGACTTTTCTATCCAGGGCGTTAAGTTCAGTCTGACTCCACCTGAGTATGCCGAAAGTATACATGAGGACAGGCATGACCCAGCCGTTATATGCATGTGTCTTATTCACACCGGACAAAAAGCTGTTAAGCACTTTGGTCAAGCGTGCATAAAACACATCGCAAACTGACTGTTTCATACCAGCCTCATCGATACCGATGTTCTGTGACATACCCAGGTATCGGTATGTTTCAGCCTCGGAAAGGGTCCTTAAGTTGACGGGCATAGATAAGTCTATGCCCTCAGAGTTAGCAACCCTTCCCCTTTCAACATGGAGGACCGCACACTTATCCGTCCCCAGCTCCATTCTAATAGAATTGCTAAATTCACACGTGATGTTTAGCAATTCCATAAGATGGGAGCGACTGGAGGCGAATAATTTGAGGTCATCCATATAGAAAAGGTGAGTCACTTTTGTACCTCCTTTCCGAAGCTGAAATCCCCTCCCGGAGCCCTCCAGTAAAGTACTGAGAGGGTTCAAAGAGAGGCAGAACCAGATTGGACTCAGACAGTCGCCCTGGAATATACCCCTTCTTATCCTTATGCGGCTTTCCGCAGCCGTCATCCGCTCGCCTAGATGACAGAGGATCGTACTCCACTGCCCCATACACTGCTCGAGGAAGTCTCGAACTGTACAGTCAATCTTGTACAGCTCGAGGACCCTCTTTAGCCATGTATGGGGCACCGAGTCAAATGCCTTTCTGTAATCTATCCAGGCGGCGGAGAGGTTCCGACGGTTGCGTTTCACCACTTTGCCAATGACCGCGTCAATGAGGAGTGGTTCCTTGGTTCCACGACCGCCGCCCCGACATCTTGAGCATCAGAGACATTTTGAGCGCGCGACATCACCTGATTTAAGTCCAGGTGACGAGCGATTCTTGCGCTCAAAATGGATGTTAGTGTCTTGTATATGGTCTGTAGACACGTGATGGGGCGGTATTTGCTCGGGTCTGTGGCACCCTGATCTTTAGGAACCAAATGAGTGATCCCAGTAGTGAAGAGGCTTGGGAGCGACTTCTGGTTGAGAGCCTCTTGAAACTGTCGGGCGAGCACAGCGTGACACACCATGAACCCCTTCAGCCAGTAGTGATGCAGCCCGTCAAGCCCCGGACTTTTCCAGTTCGAGGCCCTACGGACCGCCTCAGCTACGTCATCCGGCGTTATGATGACGGGGTCCATGGGCGTAATACCCGCACACTGACTCGCCACAACTTCCGTCCAAGGGCCCTCGTTGTGGTTTACGGGCTCTGACCACAGGCTGCGCCAGAATGCGACCGTGTCGGCCTGATTTGGTGCAGGGCCCGTTCCACTTACTATTGGTCGCTCCAATGATTTATAGAGCCTCTTCTGATCACTCTGGAAGAGACGATTCTGGTTGAACCGTGTCGACCTCTCGGTATATCGCCGAATCCGCTTTCCCCAAGCAGCTATTCTTTGCTTCAGGTCGTCTATGCGCTCCGTCAGTTTTTGCATTATATCCGGCTGGGACAAACTAACATTTGTCCCAGCAAACGCCATCCTGACGGTGCGCACAATCCTTGGCCTGGTATTGCCTGACCTGAAGCATATCAGTCTGCCGATGAGGGCCTTAGCCTTTGCGATACGTTCTTCAATTCTTATTCTCCAGGCTGGGATAGCACTACTTTGTCCAGTAGCGCGTCCAGCCGTGGAAAGTTTGGCACCTATAATACGGCAGACTGCCAGTGCGGCGCCAAAAAGAATTGAATTATTATTATTATTATTTTGTTTGCTTTCATATCTCGGCTTTTACCGGTTTACTAATAGCACGGGCCTAAGCCAAGTGTATATTAGTGCTGGATTTGGTGCTATCCTGTGATACCTTATTCAGTTACCTGTGTGTTAGGTTGTGAGGCAATTTGTCTAAGTATAGGAGGTATGGTTTGTTCTTCAGTTTGCAGGAACTTCCTAACTATTCTGCATGTATTCAGTATTACAGCTTTCTGTAAAAGTTTGTATGTATTGGGTGGTAAATTTAAAGTTTTTACAGATTGGTGTAATTGCTTCGGTATTACGCCGGTTGTCGATAGGACAATGGGCACTATAATTACTTTTTGAAGATGCCAGAGTCGAGTTATTTCATCTTTAAGTTCTGCATATTTAGAGAGTTATTATTATATTATAAATGGAGATGCGTTATCACGCGTAAGAAAGAGACTGAGGTGGAATACCCGATTTTCAGTAAAAATGTCTCCATTTCTTCACACTTACATAGGAAGACAGCACAATGAACTGCTACTTAACGCTGGTATTCAGTGAGAGCTCGGCAAGGACGCCAGGTCGAGCTTACCCATTTGTGCTACAAAAATAATATAGCTGCAGGATGGCATTTATCACGTAAAAATATGTCTTCATTTAATTTAAGATTTTATTTTTATGATGTTTTAATTTACGTTTGTAAATGTCGTTGCACGCTGCTTTGTGGCATTTCCCGGGGAGGCCTTTATTCAGCAGAGGATTTTTGAGAGGCTGTAAAGTCGATAATGATAATTATCAATGCGTTACCTATTGTATTTTCATCATCATCATCATCATTACAGCCCTTCACAAGTCCACTGCTGAACATAGGCCTCCCCCAAGTAATGCCACAAAGCACGGTCCTGAGCCACCTGCATCCATCGACTTCCTGCATGTCTTACCAGGTCGCCACTCCATCTAGTGGGGGTATATTGCTTTCCTTTTATATAACTATTATTTACATATATTATATTAAAGCGCAAGTTTAAGTTTAACTTTGCACAAATACATTGCAAACTTTAAGCTGCTTTTTAATAATTTAACAACATTAACATTTATGACATAAAAAATAACATTTCATATTACATTGAATTTATTTTTAATGAAATTCTTTATTTCACACAAACCGACAGCCCTTGGGAAAGAAAGTTTCTAGAGTGGGAACCTCATACCGGTAAACGAAGTGTGGGGCGTCTCTCCACCGGATGGAGTGGCGATTTGATAAGATATGCAGGAAGTTGTGGATGCAGGTGCTCTGTGGCACTCCTTGGTCAAGGCAAATGTCTTGTGAAGGACAGAAAGGATATTGATGACTAAAAAAATATCTTTTTTATAGTTGAGGCGGCAAACGAGCATGCGGTTAACCTGTAATTTCAGGTGCGTTGCCGATCATTTAAAAAGGAAAGGAAAGTTCTTGAAAGACCTAAGTCGTAATTA